CCCCGTCCCCCGCCGCCCTCCCCGCAAATGAGAGCTGCTAGTGAAACCTCCAGTGGCTGCGGTCATCTCAATGACCACACTGGATTCACCCTGAGGTGAGTCTGTTCACTGCTCAACAGGAAATGGTCAGTTCAGTTGGGTCCAGTTTCTGTGTAGTGGTACGACTGTTATCTTTTTAACCAGCACACTGTTTCAGTTTAACAGTCATCTTGTGATTTATTAAGCCCTCTGATCCTGTTCCTCCCATGTATTTTGGCCAATGTCCTGTTGTAGTAGTATTTATTTACTTCCTCTAAAGTACACTTCTATATGCTATCTTATTGACCATTATTCTATTTGTTTCTGGCAGTTACGTTAGGTCAGCTTGCTCCCCTCACTTGCTTTTATCTTCCAGGTGCACGGTGTTAACTCTAGACTTGATAAAAACGTTTTACATTGGATTAATGAGAATGCGAGCAGCACTGAGCTAATGCCAGGGTAACACAATTTGCTATAAACCCTCAGACTGCTTAATACTTTTTCATCAGCTCTCTATCCGCTCGCAGTTTGGAAGATGGCATGTGGGTTAACAAAGCATATTTTCTCAGTTTACTGTTGAATGTTTTGTGGGGGGCAGAGGATTAAAACCAACAAAAAACTTGATGTTTGACATATTTTCAGCAATTACTTTGATTCATTCGACATATGCCAATTGAATTCTACTCATGAAAGTAATTCTCCCATTACATTTTCTATTGATTCCTGTTCTACACAGAATCCAACACAAGACAAATACACGTGAATGGTGCATCGATAGTATTTGTAGGAGAGAAATGGCTTCAGATGGTTTTTCATGGATAAAGCCAGAAAAGTAAAAATTTAAAAAAACAAAAATTGTTTTACTATATAGAGACTGCAGAACTATAGGTATGAAAATACTTAGGGCAGGGATATTAAAAAATAACCAGGTCAATGCAAGCACAACTTGTTCATTTATTTATTTGTCCTTATACCTCTGAAAGTCTCTTAACCCGAAATCGAATGTTGCTACAAGAAAGGTCCTTGAAGGTATCTGTGTAGCATAATCACATCAAATAATAGATTACACACCAGTCAACTCTATCGTTTTTTTCCAGCCTGTAATTACCTATCAGTTATGCTAGTGGCTGTCTTTCCTTCCACGTCCTATGAACCCTCCTTTACAATTTACAGATAATCCAATGTCAACAGGACCGTTCCTCTTAATCTTGTTAGGGAATTCTTTTTGCCCCACTAGACATGGAGTGTGGAGTGCACCAGCTTCTCTATTGCTCTGGACATTCTTTTATTGATAAGGCGCCTAGCATCCTGTTTCTTAAGTGCACCTGGTTCTTCATTGAATTGTCAAGGCGTCTCGACTTCCTGCTGTTTCAGGGCAAGGCAGATGGTCAGGTAATGTTCAGATCAGAGAGCATTTTTAAAAAGAAGACTTTTTCTAAAATATAATTTTTATTGATACATAAAATACCACGCATTTATACAACTCTATGCTAATATTCTACCTCACACATAGGAACATTTTGAAAGTTCTAAGGAGTGGCCATTTTATTGTGATCTGATTTCCAGCCCTCCCAAAACTAATGAAAATCTTTCTAGAATTAGCTAATAAGTGTTCTAGGAAGACCCCTGGGTCTAGGGTTTTTTTTTCTTCTTCTTTCTTTCTCACTGGAGATGTTTGTAATTAAATTCTATTACTCTGGAATCTTATTAGTGTCATTATTGAATGCTTTTCTGAAATTGCAGGCATTGTGAAGACTCCCTTACGAAGTAGTCCAGATGGTACATTTAAAGGGACGTGCATAATTTACAAAGGGTCATTTAGTGAAGCTTTATTTTAGAGTCCTCAAGGGGCAAGCTCTAATTACAACTCTGTCAGCTTTAAAATATTCACTAGTTTTCTTCCAATAAACCTTTCATGTCAATTTTATCACATGTGAAATGTGTTTTTCATAAGTCCTTGCATTTTCTTAAAATTCAATATTCAATTTTGTTTCAGTATGAGTTTGAAAGTTCACCAAGTAAAAACACTGTTCCATATTACTAATCTATGCCTCTTTCTACATCTGTCTATCTAATCTATTTATCTCCCACCCTGTACCATTTAGGCTATGTAATTTTGCTCCTTGAAATCCACAACCATAATGTTTAACTACATTACTAGACACAGTTGTAGTAAGAATCTTGAGTTTAACATGTCATTTCAACCTCATTGCTCGCTCCATCATACACCAATGCGGAACTTTCTGAATCTCAATGCAAAGGCGTAGATTCCAGAACATAAACACTCACGTCTTGATTGGACATATCCCAATAGGGTCTCTCTCCATACGACATCACTTCCCACATTACGATTCCATAGCTCCACACATCACTCGCTGATGTGAATTTACGATAGGCAATGGCCTCTGGTGCAGTCCACCGGATAGGAATCTTGCCGCCCTGTGAACATTCGAGCAGCCGTAAGTTGTAGACTCAGTACATTACTGGTGCCATTTTAGTTTCTGAATGTTATTACTGTTTACCAGGCAGGAACAACATTCCTGAGATAGCGCTCCAAACAATACTAGGAGACTTGTTTATTTGAACTGAAGTCTTCCAGGTAGAGACAGTTCTCCTCAGATGTTTTCTTTTGTCACAGGGAAGTGAGCAAGTAATCTGTTTAATTAATTTTGAAAAGCCTACCTAGTATCTGAGCTCTGCTTATGGTACTATTGTAGAAGAAAAGGAATCTCAGGTTTTACAAAATACATATGTTAGCCATGGTATATAAATGGATGTGCAGGTGATACTCATTTTTGACTTCTTGAATTCTTTCAGCCGGCAGCACAAAGGCAATACTTAAGCTTCTAAAATCATGAACTGAAAAGTTAAATAGGAAAATTTCTATCCATCACACTGTCATCCTACTTTTACATAGCATGAGAAACATGACCAACATAGCTAGAAGATAGGCTCCTAGAAAAGCCAAATAATACCAGATGCTACAGCCATTATTGACTTTAACGAAGTGAAGGCATGATTTTGGTTATCATTTAATTTAAAAAAAAACAGCAAAAATGATAAAGCAATTGACTATTACCCAGGAAAAGTTTTAAATGTATTTTGTTTGTTTTTTTGCTTCAAATGTCTTTTGATTATGTTTATGCGCAAGGTGTTTTTAATCAAGTTTCACATTTCCCAGGGTTGCATCTGGGGAGATTAATACAACTTGAATTCAGGCTCTTAAGCTGTTCAAGAGGACATCATTTCAAAGTTTGCATTCTTAGGGCTACTGAAGAGGACAATAAATTGTACTGGAAATTGCACTCATTCACTGCAGTTTACTCTGAAAACCCAGTGTATCACATTTATATTTGTTACATACAGAAGGACACTTGTGCTGCTTTCTGCCTTGCTTAAATAGTTGGCTAAGGTTTTATCTATGGAAATGTATCATTCTAGAAGCCTCTTTAACTTTCCTCTCTCTAACTACCGAGACAAAATAAAAGATCTTCAGCATTCGCACAGATGCATTCTTTCCTAAGTGAATGGAGTCAGAATTCAAAAGAAGGTATGTTTAAGAATCAAAATTAGAGGCAAAGGAACCACGCACTACAAGAAAAAATAATTACCAAACCAAACCAACCAACCAACCAACAAACAAAACACCCAACAACAACAACAAGACAATGCTTAGGATTGTAGATGCAAAATGGTTAGCATTCAGTGGCTGGTAACTGTGTGCTTCATGTTGATTTTAACAGTGTCAGCCCTAATGGCCAATAACTTTTATGATTCCATGTTTATTCCATTAGTATCTTATATTCAGATGGCCCAACTAAGATAGCGTAGCCATTAACTGGATACTGATAACTCTTAACTGTGCCCTAATCCTGGCTTATCTACCAGTAGTAAAATGAAGGCCATTAGATACTGGAAAACCCTGCATAGTGTAAATGTTTTATAAATCCTGTATATACACTTTCAGAGTCAGTAGCGGACCAACTAGAAACATTACTCTATCTTGTTTAAAATAAGATTATTTTTTTTTTAGTAACAGGAAATAACCAAATAGAAAACCTCAAACAAATAGGAAAGAAGGAAGGGAGGAAGGGACAGGGAGAGGGAGAAGGAGAAGAAGAGGGAGAGGAAGAAAGAAAAGAAAGAAATTCAGTACAAAAAATACAATAATAAGTGAAGGTCTACTTTGTGGCTTTGTAAAGTGGTCACACATCTAGAGGCTGTTTCAAAACCCATCTTTTGAAAACATGGTTTAAAAATGGATGCATGGATATGAAGGGGCTCTGAAGGATGAGGAAACTTGTAAAATCACAAAGGGCTTAAACATCAGAGTGAGACGTGAGGAACAGTTTCATCAGAGTCAAAACCCAGAAGTTGCCAAGCCTCCTTACCCTTGTGGTGTAAGCTGCTTCGGGATCATCCTCTAGCACCCGGGACATGCCAAAATCAGACACTTTGCAGACCAGGTTGCTATTGACCAGAATGTTCCGTGCAGCCAGATCTCGATGCACATAGCTCATATCCGATAAATACTTCATCCCAGACCCAATGCCACGGAGCATGCCCACCAGCTGAATGACTGTGAATCGGCCATCGTTTTTCTACAGAAGGAAGGAACGGGGAACAATCTCATTAGCATTAGGCCAAATTAATGTTCACCAAGCGTTTATTACTTGGATCTTTTTTAAATAACTGTATCCGGTATGCAATCAAACTCAACATTATTTCCGGGCCTTTTTGACAAAAGTCACTAATTCACTAGCAAAGTGAGTATATCCTAGAAGCTGGGTTTGCTTCCTGTGATAGATGGAAATTATCCAGCTATAATGAATCTGTGGCTCAAACAGCCCGACACTACAAGAATAAATCAAATGCTACTCTCATCCAACATGGATTATTTAATAGTCTTTAAAAAAAAAAAAGCACATCATTCGCTACTTTTCCTGTTCTTCCTTCGCCCCATTAAAAAAAGTCCGTGACCACCACCAGACAAGGCGGTGCAAGGAGTCTGTTAGAGTTTTCTAAATACCAAAATTCTTGGGTTTAATATAAAGTAGTCACGTACCCTGAGGAATGCATCCAAGGAGCCATTCTCCATGTACTCTGTTATGATCATTACTGGTTTACCTAGAATTTTCAGGAAAAAAAAAAAACACAAACCCTTGATGAGCACTGTAGTTAATGAGATCAAAATGGGCTGTGCACAATTTTACTGCCAAGACACCTGTCTTGTGCGATCTAATTTAATTAAAACAAGCCAAGCTTATGCCTCAGCTGTGGGGAACTAGGAATGAAATATTAAAAAGACGAGTAGGTTTAAATTCCATCTGGAAGGTTAACCCTTTGGGTAGCTTGTTGACAAGGTCTTTAAAGTGGCCGCTGGTATCCAGGGAGCACATGAATGGATAATTGCTCTCTCAAGCAAAAGGGGAAGAAGATAAATGGGCAGGCCTGCTTAAAGGAAAGAAAAAATCTTTAGGATAATTAATTTATTTTGTCCCCAGAAGAGCCACGCGTGCGATACTAAAGGAATCAATGGACAGAGAAACTTTCCTTATTCAGAAAAACCCGGGTTTTAGGAAGCAGTAGCTATGTTGGCTATGTCATTGTTCAGACACATCTTAAAGCTCAAGCATGCACAATATTAACTTCTTTCCCCCTGTCTTGCTCAGATTCGGGGCTGTATTCTTTTTTTCTTTTCTGTAAATGAACTTATTCTATTTGTTTCCTTAAGCCACCTACCTCAGCAGCAACAACAAAATCACAGAAAAGGTTCATTAAATTATTTTATACCAGACAGTTTTAATTCAGTACTGGAAGATTCTTGCTTCCCCCTACTTTCTTCTTCTTCTTCTTTTTTTTTGGGGGGGGGCAAAGAAATCAAAATAATTTTAAGGTTTGGGAGAAGTGGGGAGAAACACCACTTTTATTTCACGTTAGTTTTCTCTCTGAGAACCTTAGGAAATAAGAATCATTCTTTAGTTTCTTAATCACTGGCAATGGACTCAAGAGCTGAAATTCCTTCTTTCTAAAGGGGATTTTGGGAGAGGGGTGGGGGTGGGGTGTAAATCCTCAATATTTTACTAAGGGAAGGGTTAGAGCTAAGAGAACGTAAAAGAGTCCCTGGGAGGAAAATAAAATGTTAGCTTAATGATAAATAAAAAATATTTACACTTTCACTGCTGTAATTGTGGACTGTTTGGACTTAGGGAAAATGGGTTGGGACACATCACTGTGGAAAAGTTCCCCAAATTATTCTAAACGAATACATTTCCCCCCCAGAGCCCCTCTCAGAATAGACTCTGCCCTGGTGTAGCAAAAAGTGAAAACATCTTTGTTTCAAAGGCAAACATTTGGAAGAGCTGAAGTTTTGAATTTCAACAAAGTCTAATTTACAAATTTGTTTTTTTGATTGTGTTTTTGTTGTCCCAAGAAATTTTTTTGAAGCCAAAATTTTGGATTAGAAACCAATAGCATGGAGATTTGATTTTCAAATGATAAATGAAAGCTGGCAGAAAAAGCAGGGATCTTGGTGTAGACCAAAGGATGAGTCAAATCATGTTATCTTTCCCTTTGGCAGTAGGGGAGGGTCCCCACACACCTTTCCATCCTCCATTACACAGGAAAATGCTTGTTCTTGGATTCATTTACCCTCTACATCTGTGACCCCAGTCTTCCCACAGAACAAATGCATCTAAATGAGTTTTAATTAACCTGCCTCAATCAAAAGATACTCTGTCAACTAATGAGAAAGGGTGACTCTCTTGGTGGTGTCATTAACACCTACTTCCATGTCAGCAGATGCTTTGGAGGTGTAGAGAAGACAGTAGAAGACGCAAAAGACAGGGGCATAGTAGAGAGAATTTATAGCCTCCCCATCCATTTAAAAAAAGTTACTCGAGTAACTGCTGGTAATGAATTCACACTCTTCCACTCCACCTTTTCACCCTCACACCTCCCGAGTCTGACTATTGGCACCATCTTCACGATTTTTCTACATTCTTTTTTCTGTTTGTTAACAGTATCCATTTGTCAGAATCTTTATGAGCTCTACAAGAGAAATAAAGATGAATGTCTCCGTAAGCAGAGGGGCTAATAAAGTGGGCCCAGGCTGGGCTCATGGATGGAGGCGGGTTCTTCCCTTGGACAGGCAGGGATGCAGCGGGGAGGGCAGCGAAGGGGGAAGGGGACAGCTCCTCCAGTGGAAATTTTAAATCATTTTAATTCAGTGACAACTGCATTATGCAAATGCACCCAGTCGTTTATAACAGTTACAGCTGTAATAGCTGTGGGTTTTAGAGGCACGGTGGGACTTTAACACAAAGATCCCCTGTTTCTTCTCTCTTCTACCGAGGTGCTGTGAAAATCACTGTCTGCAGCAGGAAAAACACCCCAAGCTGAACAGAGCCTCCTTTTGAGAAGCTGGACCTGCAGAAGTATTTAAACGGAATGTTATCTTTTAATTAAAGTAGTGAAGGGCTCTGGGCAGCCCCGAAGGCCACAGGCAACAGAAAAATATCCTGTCTGTGAAACTAATCTTAAAAAGCAAATAGAGCTATTCTATGCTAATTATAGCCTTCACCTTAGGTGGAAAATTATACTATATCCTTAGCACCAAGGTTCCTTTTTTGAAGGATTCTGAAGATGGGGAAAGATGTACTTCCTAAGACATAATAACACCAGTTAACACTTAAGAGTTGTTTTGTTTTTTTTTAATTTGCCAAGCATTATGTTAAACACACTAAATAATTCATCCAAAATAACCTTGTAAGGCAGGTTCTATTTTTAGCTCTACTTTACAGTTGAGGAAACTGAAAGATTGAGCGGCTCGTCAAGGTCGCTTGCTTGATTAGCAGTGGAGGTGGTATGCAAGTCTTTGGTTCCTAGGCCAAGGGTCTCTAAGTGTGGCCCCGGGAACTGCAGCGATGGCTTACCTTGGAGCTTAGAAATCCCAATGCACGGACCGCATCCCACTTGCTGAATCAAACCTCTGAGGATGAGGTTCAGGAAACTAACACATTTTCCAGAATTCTGGTGGACATTTTAGGACCTCGGAACTAGTGAATACTTTACTTTTTTGGTCACCTCATATTCTCTTAAAGATTTTGTACCCTGCTGCCCTTCTTTCCCTCTGCCCCAGACCTAATATCCAAAGTTTACTCTTTGGCCTACCCATGTCCCCTTCCCTTCACCCATTGGAGCAGCAGCTCTGCACACAGTGATTGAAGATGCTTTCACAGGCACCTCGGATCCGTCAGAGGCACCTTAGCTTTCTTGGAGGAGACATAGCCCAGGCTTACACAATCCTTACAGGTAGTAAATAGTAGGTACTACGGCTCCTGGAATAGAGCCACCTTCAGTAACGACCACTTCGGCTGCACTATCCATGTGGCAATTTATAAGTTGGTCTTAGCCAGCCTTACAGATGCACTCAGGGTTTGCTTTGCAAAATACATCTGTTGAGCTATGTCGTATTTTCACTGAAGCGTGGTTCACAGGCTCAGTGAATGCTAATGGACTAAAAATGGAAAGTTCAACCAGGTGTTACTGTAAATAGGTGCTGAACTGAAACAACCATAAATCAGGCAGAGCAGACAAGCAAATCCCCCTAAACATAATAAAGATTCCCAAGATCCCCTCCCTGCATGTACAATTAAAGCTTCAAGCACAAGGTGTGGCGAGGGTTTGTTGTGTTTTATATGAAAAGTACTTAAAATTTATTTTGCTTACCATCTGCTTGTGCCTATCCTGTGACAATCAGTTGGGTCTAGCAAAGATTTGAAAGATGGCGAGGCATAACAAAAATCTGCAATATTAATTTCCCTAAAATCTCACACAAGCTGCCTTGGAAAGAGGGTATCAGCCTAAACCATAGACCCATTTAGAGCTGACTATAAGATTAATGACTTGTCCTGCACTGATTTCCTCCTATTAGCAATCAGTGGGTCTGCTCCATCTGTCATTTTCCTGGAAAGAAAATGTGTGTTTAATTTGCCAGTAACTTCTAAGTTGGCTTTGCAAAGGGAGTGACCCACATACATTTGGTGACGACGCCTTCCAAGTGAATTATATTCGGGTGGTCAAACTGTCCCATGATGCTGGCCTCACTCAGGAAGTCTCTTCGCTGTTTGTCTGTGTAACCCGCTTTCAGAGTCTTAATGGCCACACAGATCTCTCTCTTGCCAGGCACTTTGAGACGCCCACTGCAGACTTCACCAAACTCGCCTTTGGGAGAGAAAAAGAATTGACTATGGACCAGGAGCACAGCACGTTCAGAGTGAGAGAGGAACAGCTAACATTTGTTGAGTGTTTATTACATGCCAGGCACTGTGCTAGTGTTTTACACAGATCAAGGAAATTTCATGTGTGCAGATATTTACATGTATACGTGTACATACAGTACACTCATATGCATTTACAATATATAATCACACATGGGTATTTAACATCCACCAAGAAAATAGGCTTATTAGACAGACACTCAGACACTTACCAACTCCTATGACTTTTTCAATCTTAATGCAGGATGCATCGATTTCTTTGGCAAATTCTCGAACTGCTTGGTTGGGATCTTCGTATGTAAAGGGATCCACGTAAGTTCTAACACCTAGGTAATAAATGTGATAGATTGACTGAACGCTTCTCAGGAACCACTAAATACGCTGAAGTCGTGTCTAAAAATACTTCGCACAGGAAAAGTTTTCTTAGCATGAGAAAAATCCTTAGCATAGACAGACGAAAATGCTTAAATTCTTGCTCTGGTTTTCATTAGGGGGTAAACAAGGAATTGTTAGCTACTTAAGAGGCTGTAGCTCCACTGACTGCCTGGAATGCCTTCACACTTCAAGGACACAATTTTTAAAACGACCTATCCCATGGAGAAAAAGAGTCTCTCTAAGGCAATTTAGAATGTGTTAGCTGAATATTGTTGTCTCAAGCAATTGTTCATGTCCCACTCACCATCAACAGCTATCCTCCTTTAGGGAAGATAATACGAACTTTCTTTCTCAACGGGCGGTACCTACGTGGTACCACCACCTTTTGCCCAATATCTGGACCAGTTAAATATATGACCAACAATTGACAAACTAAGATTGAACCTAGGTTAAAATGGATAAGAGGGATAATATCAGCTAGTTTATTTGAGAATATATCCTCTGTATTGGATCTCCACTTTTATTCTGTTTTGGGGAGAAGGTGATGTAAATGAAGACATTGGAGTTCACCTGGAAGCTTCCATGGGAGCAAATGTAGCCTAATTGTGATTGATTTGAACACCAGGGAGTGTCATTCAGCCATACCCCATAATCACTTGTAAACCAAGTTCAGAATGTGAGCTCTAAAGCAGCCCAGAGACGCATTAATAATTACTGGGAACTTACTACTGCCATTAACGCCTTTCCTTTCCCTAGGGCTTTGGGACCCTGAGAGGATATAGGACAACAGTTGGCCAATCACTTTGATTTTCCAGACCTATCAGTCTTGTCCTCATCTCAAAAAAAATTACAACATTTTTGTTTTAAAAAAACAGATGCTACATGCAAATTCAAAGTATCGTTTTAGACAGGAAAAAAGGCGAACAAATGGAAAGTCGTCAGACATTCTATGTCCTGCATCACTTTATATGCTCTAACCAAGAAAATCTTTCTTAAGATTATTCTTCCAACCCCTGGTCTCTCTCTTCCTTTTACCTCCACGGGCTGTTTAAGAGGGTACATATTACCCACAGGTTGCTATTTAAATGTAAATTAGTCAAAATTAAATACTATATAAAATTTACTTCCTTATTCACATTAGCTACTTGTGGTTATTGGATAATGTATTGGCTGGTCAGAGGTATAACACGGTGCCATCAACTCGGAAAGTTCTATCTAACAGTGTTCCTGGAGTCATCAACCATTGTCCATTTAAGAGTCTCTATCTTGCTCATGTCCTTCTAGAGCCAATTCTTCACATTTATTCTGTGACCCACTTGGAACACAATTATAACTAGAATCCACTAAAGAAATATTGATGGTCCTGAATTCTTCAGCACATGTCCTTTGGGGTTTAGCAATTACTGTTCAATTCCTTATTCCTTCTTCTCCAAAACATTTACCTTATAATTGAGAAAAATTGTTACCTGTTAAATCTTGTCACCCAGATACAAAATTAAAATAGCTCCTCTAATACCTTTTCAAGGTGGAGGATAAAAGAAGGGAAAACAAGAATCTAAAGCAATTTCCCCAATGCTCATCTTTAATCTCACTTGCAACAATCCCCAGTCACATATGTCAGTTTGATACTCTGAAGTACATTATGTGGATAATTCCATGAAAGGAATAGAATATGAATAGCCACATGAATATTATTGAGAAATTGCTAAACTGAAAACAGAAGACATGCTCTCAAAATAAAATTATTTTTAATCCAATTTTTTGTACCTTGATTCAAATGTTTCTCTTCATCTGCGTCTTGTTTGGCTTTACTGTATTTACTCCGCCTATTAAAAATTAAAAAAGAAAATAAAGAGAAGAAACAAAATTATTTTCAAAAGCTGAAAGCCATAGGTTTTTTGCTACCATAATATAAGGCAGGCAGATATACTATGCACATTTCACAGATGAGAAAACTGAGGTTTACGAGAGGTGACCTAACAAGATGAACAGCTTCTCATCTTGGTAGTGAATAATGGTTTCAAGTGCAAGCAGTCAGAGCACAGTCTCTGCTCTTACCCACTATATTAAACTGAAGTGATAAACCAAGTATTTTATAATTATAATTTCAAATCCCCAGAAGAAATTTATATTATTGAAGATAGATTATAAATTTATTGGCTAGTTTGCTCATAAGTATTCTGAATTGAAATACGTTTCCTTGGGTAAATCCTGCATGAATCAAAGGGCAATAATGTTCAATATGTGATAGGTAATTCAATATCATAGCATACGATATTCTGTGGTTATTGGTTTCAGCTGTTGCATACAAAATCCTCAATTATTAACAGAAATTTCAAAGGTAAATATTTGCGTTGTACTGGATTACATTCCTTAAGAGTTTGTAGAAAACTTGCAAGGATAAAAATGAGAAGTTTCTATTTGTAGCCTAATTATCTTTCCAAAAAAATGGTATATGGTTTTACAGTTGTCATTCTGCTCTACGTGTCCTCTAGGCATGTGATCTGGCTTTGCTATAAAGTCCTGGGAATCAGAAATCTTGACTATATATAAGTCTTGAATCAGTAATCTTGATACATCATAGATATGTGTGTATGTGTAGGTGTATACCGTGGGTGCCAAAAAAATGTATGCAAGTGGACACTTTGGTCAACATTGATGAAGCAGTAGTTCGCCATAATCAGAAGTGTCTGGACGCTGATGGTAACCACTCTGAGCATCTCTTGTAATTGCAGAAGTCAAATGTGACTTGTATTCATCTTTTGTTATTGGTATATATTGAGTATTACAATTTTAATACAGTTTTTCTTTCTTAAAATGTGCATACATTTTTTTTTTTTGGCACCTGTATATCACTTAAATGAATTGGAAATCAACTTAGTTGCTATTACAGCTCTCTAAAGTTTGGGAAGATGAAACTAAATTAGTGAATAAAAATGTGTTCACTTATGTTTCTATCAAAAAACGCAAAGTTGACATTGCAGTTTGTAATCATCTAGCATTTCCTCGGAGCTTTAAAAACAACATAAGTCAAGATGCTTACAATATGAGGAAACTGAGGCTCTGAGGTAACAAAAGACGCCCTGGAGGCCATAGTGAGCCTCAGCAGTGTGGTCCTGTCAGAATCTGGTAACAGAAGCCCCAACTGAACAGTAGAGAAGGGCAGATGATCATGTAAAAGAGAGAACAATGGAGAACCTAAAGGAACCAGGCAGCGCAAGGAGAGAGGCAGCCCAACCATGGTCACGTGCTCCAAGCTTCTCGCCCACATTCCTCTCCTCATTGTCAGCAACGCAGGACCCAGCTCCACACTGAGACCCTCAGAGCCTACAGATGTTCCTCCGTGTGTATAATTCCCTTGCAAATAATAATACCTTGCGCTTTTCCATGGCATTTAACTTTTCAAAGTGCTCTCATCACATATATTATTTCCTCCCCTAACTGTTGGCAAAGCAGGAACCAGCTTAGTAAACAGAGACCCAGTTCCTAGAGTTAACTGCAAAGCGTGTGTAATTCAGTCCCAAATAATAGCTTGCCTTCTTACTTTGTATTTAACTCTCTGAAGAGCCTTCATGTCTTTTACTGAATTGTATGTTCCCACCAACCCTCCGAAAGCAATCAGGCAGACAGACACACACTCTGTACAGATATGGACATAGAGGGAGCAGGCTAGTGATTCACCCACGACCCTCTCAGCAAGTATAGGCGTGTGTCTGCCTTGATCCAACTCACGCCTCACATGCCTCTCATAGTGGAGATGAAGTTATTTGATGCTTTGAGAGTTAATTATAAGTAATTTTACATTCTATATCAGTAAATCCACTTAAATTGTATTTCACTGCTCTCAAAATACATTGCTGCATCAAAGACACTAAACAAGTTGAAATATCCCGAAACCAAATATGTCACTGAAAGATGTACTCCCCCCTCAATCTTCCCACCTCTTTCCCCTTTTACAGGAAATATAAGAGTGTTAGGTCAGGGACTATGAAAACAACATTTTATGTCGGGGAAACGCGTGGCTAGGTCCCAAGGGTGTGATAGGGTCCTGCCAGCCTGAGAGACTGTATCTTATCAGAGCTCCTAAAAGCATTACCTAAAATTACAAGTATATCTTTCAAATCACTTTAGATCTCCAATTTGAATTTCTTTCCTTTAAAGAAGGAAAAAATTGCACAGAGCAGGAGAGCTTTGGTACCAATTTTAAATAGTGAGTTCGTCAAAAACTCTGGTATCTACCAATAGAAGCAAGTGGCCTCACGCGGCCCAGGAGTGTGGTAATCTGTTTTACATCAAGTCCATTCATTAAATATGTGCAAAGCCAGAGGAAATGCCAAATGGCAGGGATCATTAATTATAAGGCTGCTGTGCCTATCTCTTCCTCAGACTTCTAAACATCAGGGAGGAATTAAATTAGAGGTGAAGGTGTATCTTTAAGGAACCTTCTTTTCTTTGGAGTGTGGCGTGGAGGTGCGGGCCCTGCAAAAGTATAGGGAATGCCGAAAACAGAAACACAAGGATTACTGTTCAAAGGCTAATTGCAGCCTATTAGCTTTTTAATAATACCTTGAAAACTCAAATGCCTGAGTCCCACTCTACCTTTGTCACCTGATGACCCTTCCTCCTTGTCTCAGGGTAGGACAATGGGTCCCTTATTGTCCCAAGAAAGAAAGCCCATTGGAGGGTATTATTGGGTCAGCCAGCCTAGAGGAAACCACGCAGCCCAAAGAAGTGCTAACTTAAGACTGACATCCGAGGCAGATCACCCGAATGGCAGAAGGAAACCTTTGTTGTAGATTTTCTAATTATTGAGATGTGGGCAAGCTGATTAAAAAAGGGTAAGGACGGGAGTGGTGGGCCAGTGAACATTCCAGAAGGAAACATGGAACCTTTCAACTGCTGGAGTTAGATAAAAGAGTCTCCTCTGCAGGTGAAACTTTGAAAGGGGGTGAGCTAAGCCCTCCCTCTGTCAAAGGGAGGCATAAAAAGGGTATTAACAGACATTGTTGAGGAGCAGCATGAGCCCCCAGCACCGCCCTCCCCACCAAAGTGTTGTTCCTGGCACCCTGACTATTCAATTAAACAAACGAAATAGTGGACGGGGAGCAGGGCAGAGGCCCAGCATAAACCCCGCTTTTATTAAAAGACTAACTTTCCTGACCGAGTGGATGGATTTGATTGATGTGGTTCACGGTTCCAAAACTAATTAGTAAAAGGTAAGTAATTTATTCAGCTAAAGTGCAGATTAAAGAAGATAAAGCAGGGTAATAACTAGCATGGCTCCAGGAGGACCCTTTTCAGCGTTCAATGGCATCACCCGTGACAATTCATAGAAGCCATCTTTCTTTACCCCCTTCCTTAAGCTGTCATTGTTCTTGCACCAAATGATGTCTAAATGTTCTTTCATGAGCAACATTTTGAAACGGTTGGAATTGAACTGTACGATTGCACGCAAGTTGTTTAGAAATGTTCCCGCAGTACCATCTGCCCTCTAATTGTATGAATTTACATGACTTCATCAGAGCCGATTTAGGCTACCATTTAAGTGTATTCATTCTCATGTGATCATAATATTTTAACGAGGACACCAGGGAAGACAGATACAGGCTGAATGGCAACTGTTTTACCATTACGTGAACGGTTAGCTCCAAAGTGGAAAATCTTAACCTTCCCAAGAAGACAAAATCAACTTGCAGTGGCTGACTTTATATTATACACTAGACTTGCACATTAATTCACAGATTACGAATGTTACCAACATCACTGAGGGGGCTTTTGAAATTTGGGGCCAACAGAACTATCGATGTTAGCTTTTTATGTAGATCAAATTTTCAGTGAAGAAGACATTAAAATAATCGATCTATGCCAGTTATTGGAAATCAGGAGAGATGGACTCCTGACCTGATCAGGCAACTAACTAACTCTGTGAACTTGGTTAGTTAATTGTTTAACCTCCTCTCCAGTCCTCAAGTTCTTAATATACAAGATGACAGTGTTAGAATTACGCAGTTTCCTAAACCAGAGCCATTCCCTCACAAATTTTGCAATAGACACTTCACTTTTTAAAAAAATCAATTCACTTTTTTTTTGTTGTTAATTCGGGTAAAAGGGGTACTTTATAACCCTAACATAAAGGGAAACCCAGTATCGCTAGCAATCATTAGAAGGTCAGTATCAAATCAGCCTATGCATGGTTGTTAGGCAATCCTTGTCTCTGATCACCAAACTGTCCTTTAGAAAAGATAGAGGCATCTGGTATTCTGCTCCTTTGTTAAGTGTTTTTCATATGTGAACAATAAAACACTATTTGGAGAAGATACCCTAGGCTGAGGCAATCTAAATTAATACTATTTGGGATGCTTCTGAAGTAAACCCAGTGAAATTGTTCATATAAAGCGGGGAGTGGAGGGTGGGGGGGGCGGTTTAGAGAAATTTAACACATTCGATCATAAGTCCTGGAGGTTATGACCTTATTATTGCATCTTATGATGTCCTTTCAAAAATCATTTCACAAAGCAGTAACCCTGTAGAGCTTGCTAATATGTATACCTAGAAGGACATGAGGAAATAATCCTGTGCTGCTAAGAGAAGGCGCATATGTGGTTTGGGATAACATTTCTAGGTCCGGCATCACATAGACACAGGAGGTGCTGTACCTGAAACAGCCCAGTTAGCAAATACAATTAATTGTGTTCACTGAAAAGCTGATAGAATCCTTAAATTATAACTCAACTAATGAGGAAGACACTGATCAAAGACGCTTATAAAAAAATATATATAAGTTCATTTGCTTAACATAACATGGGTGGTAAACACATACAGTATATCTAAGTCAACGTACTTTGTGCGACATGCCATTTAAAATATATAAATAAAGTTTATAAACTTAGTAGTTTGACTTTTTCACGGAGATCTGTAAATGTTTACACATCCAAGTTGGCCAAAAGGAAAATGTGAATCTCTCCACTGGAAAAAAAAAATATATTGAAGATTATTCTGGCTTCTCTAAAGCTCAGGCTTCTTTGTATAAAGTAAATGTAATGAAATAAATGACGTAACTACTACAAAAAATCTAGCATGATACCAGTGGTGAGCCTGAGACTGTTTCGTCTTCCTTAAATAACAAATTTGCACCAGATAGGCTTTCTCCTTGAGTAATCAGACGGACTGAAACTTTGCTCCCTATGTGAGCTCCTGTCAATCTACCTCTTAAACATCTCCTATGGCACCAGCCGTGTGGGGTTCAGGTGGAGGAGGAATCAACCTGGAAGGGCTCTGTCTCTAGCGTCCATCTTGCCATCAACATTCTGTGGCTCTAGGAAGCGAGCAGCAGCCCCATCACTCTCCAGGCTAGAGTGTCTCCTTTGTTCTTTTCGCAGACGGCTAGCTGCAGTGTGGCGAGACTGTTTTGGAGGTACCATCTACCATCTTTCATTCGTAGCCTGGGCCAGGCTTTCATCTGTCCTGCCCGTCTCCTCTGTCTTCACCTGTTCTCATCCCATTTAGACACTTGCAGTCGAACATGACAGAGCACACAGCCAGCATGCGGAGAAGCGTCAGCTGAGCGTGCGGCAGCTGCGCCAATGCCTGTCAGCTACCTGGCTCCAGGCGGCCTTCCCCATGACAGCTTTATGGCCGACACTAAAGCAGAATCAATAGGAGGGCAAAGGGTTGACATTTCATTTTCTAAAAAGTGATCCATTGTGGACCAATCACCAAGCAGTGTTTATCAGCCTTGGGAAGTGACATTTTTTTTTTTTTTTAAATAGGAAAGAAGGGACAGGAATCATCGCTGGGTAACTCGACAGGTTCAATTCTCTAAGGTGGGGACTCATAATTGGAAATTCAATGCATCCTGCTATCAATCCTGCCTTAAATAATAAAGCGATCAATAAAATCAGAAAGGAAATTAAGCCATCAAGATTGCAATGCTATTTTCTAGAGCAGTAGCTTTTAATAAACTTGCCTTCCTGCATTACATTTTCCTTCCTTTTCGTCAAAGCAGAACCTCCAAAGAGAAACGTATAATGAGGTGACTTATTTCTAATTAGTCCAGTTTGACTGCTAAAACGAAAGAAAAAAAAAGTACATCTAAAGGCAAGCTGGGCTACGACTAGAGAATACTTCCAACCAACACCACAGAAAAGGACGAGACTCCCTTTCTGCAAATGAGTGTTCTCTCAAATGCCTCTGAGCATCACGTGGTGCTCGATTTCAGCCAAAGAGTTTCTGAAGCAAAGGTCATTAATATGTTTTCTACTTTTAGGCTTTTAAACATCTACATTTTCTGATAATGAAAGTTATTTATATACACTGTAAAATTTTCAAATGCAGGAATGTGTGACAAGGAAAGCAAAAGCCCACGTAATTTCTACACACCCCCTCATCGCATCCCCGACTTCCCACTATCAAATGGGTTTATGCATGTTAATGCATACAGGTCCCCATGTGTATATGTGCCCGGCAGGTATACATACACGAAATCAAATGAAAACGGACAAGAAAGAGGTCCATCTTGACTAACTTCCAAAATCAATGCCCGGGAAGGAAAGAACACTGGAAATTCAAATCCTAGTCAAGGCCAGTTGAAGGCCCAGATACACCATTACATGGGACGGAGCAAGCGTATCCCTATGTATGTTTGTATGAATGTATTACAGCAACAAGGATGACAGTTTGTGGCAGATTAACTTCTTCAAGATGGAACTCGCTGCTGGAATCAAACACACCTACGGACAGACTTTGCACCAAAAAGAACCAAGACATTGATCCATGCAGGTGCCCACACACAACGAAGACTTATTCCATTCCAGGTTACAGTGACCATCATGGATGTCTATATAATAGGACCTTCTGGAGAGGAAGGGCGGAGACATGATATTAATAAATACATGTGACAAGTGGGACCATATCCAGGCAAAGGAAGATATATGGTCATCGTCCTAAGTACAATGTATCACAAAGTGAGGGAAAGGCATGGTGGCTTGCCCAGGCCAGTGGCAACAGCCAGAGGCATTTTTGTGTCATCAGCAAGATCATCACCGGGAGAGGCAGAGACAGACACTGCAACAGTGGCCTGAGAGCCCAGCATGGTTAGTGGGGGTCCGGCAGAAACTCTGTCACTAGGGCAGTGTAATGCCCCGGGCTATAAAGATATACTATATAAAGTACTACGTCTTTCTGAGTGTCATTTTCCTCTTCTATAGCATGAAACGTTGATATCTAAGAGGATCGTTTTGATATCGTCAGATTCTGCTTTTTTTTTATGCCAAAAGCCTCACTTTGTCAAACTATTGATGGGATAGGGGGTAAGGTCGGAAAAGGGGCAGATTCTCTCACCTGAGACAAAGAAGGCCTAGACGTGGGCACATACTGAAGAGCAGCTACCCACCCCGCCCCCCACACACACCCCATTCCTTCAGAGGCTCCAGGCAGTGTTAGTAAGTAGACGGAAGCAACAACAATAAGAAAAACTGGCTCAAATGAACAACCTGCCAAACCATTTTTATATCTCTTTTCTAGATTGTTTTTCAAGTACCAAGTGAGATTGTAAGTAATCTACTGGTTTAGATGTATTTCCAAGAACAATGCCATACCCACAAGGTGCTCAATAGATATTCCCTGGAAGCCCTCACAGCCTTTCCTGAGGGAGATTGGACGTAGTGCCATTTCTTTGCTTTGGTTGCCAGTATTATTAACCAGTATCATGTTGAAGCACCTACTGTGTGCTGCATTATCTACTGTGACTATCAAAATTCTCCTGTCAATAACTCCTTGAGGCGGATATTATTATCTCTATTCCATAAAAGGGAAACAAAGATCCAAAGAGGTTAAGTAATATAGCTGACAAATGGCAGAGCTTAAATTTTGGGCCCAAGTTTTATAGGGTTTTGTTGTTGTTGTTGTTTGCCTTTGGCAGTAAGTCCAAGCTTAGGAGACATATAAATGTAACACCTTACAGCTTAGAGCATCTAGAAATCTCCCATTGGCTTGTTTTTCAGCTTGGTTTCCTGGAATTAGTTGGGTCTTTCCAGGCTCTCAGGCTGTGAAGCTGCCAGCAGGGCACAGTAGGCAGCTCCAGGAAGGGTCTGAGGAGATCAAAGCCACGGGAAAGGGGCTTGCGATGCAAATGCCGTGTTTATAATGCTAATCAAAAGCCTCAGCTTTGTGCGGAGGAGACAAAACGCTGCCTCATAAAACCTGGGAAGGGAGGGGCTGCATGCAGTGAGTGTCTTCAGTGCTTACCTCCTGCTGATAACAAAGGCTGCTATGAGAATGACCACCAGCACCACGCTGCCTGACACAGAGACCAGGAGAACGGTGGAGTTGGCCCCGTCGCCAATGATCCGGGAAGGCACTGGCAAAGACAGGAACACAGGGGTCACCTTTGAGAAGGTCCTAAGAGCTAGGACTTCTCACTGGGTCACAAGTGTCAACGCTCTGAAGCCATTCAGAATGCCCCCGGCCTCTTCGTGAGATATGCACGCAACAGCATTTTCTAAGCTTTCATGAGACAAAGGCATTCTTTCTATAATTGCAGGAAGAAGTTCAACCAGAAGAGTCTTACTAAATCCTACGGTAAACTGTACTACTCATTGCTTTTTCTTCTTTTCCTTTTCATGCTCACCCCTAACACTTACAGAATGATCTGGTGCATTCTTTAGTGAGAAAGACACTTAAGAAATTTCAGAGAGGACAACAGTTTTGAATGTTCCTCTCCCTCCCGCCCCTATCAAATCTATCAAAAACCTGCCCGGTACTACCCACCTCAAAAGCCACTTCCTCCTTGAAGCCTTCCAGGATAACCCCAGTGGATGTCAAACTCTTTCAGATTCAATTCTGGAGTACTTTCTCTTTTGTTTTGTTTTTGGGCTTGTTTTTTTTATTTTTTAATTCTTATTTTATTGAAAAATTTGTGAATAATATTGAATACTTTCTAGAACTGATGTTGAAAATTCTGCTCCACTGTCTCATCAGGTAGGCTCAATTTTGGTTTGTTAATTATGAGGTGGAGATATCTTATGTAACCTACTTATACATGGGTATGTCCTCTGTTAACATTTTTGATTCAATCACCCAGTTGTTCCAACTCACAATATTGATGGAACTGATATAATTGTCCAAAGGAGCTTTAAAACTGGTCTGACTTGATTTTAAAAGATTCCTAGAAATAAGCAGGAAAGAAAAAAAAAAGTCCCCTTCTTTAATTTTCCCAGGGAGAAACTCCCTATCTAAATGAAAGATAGTTATGCAACTCTTAGTTGGTTTAGCAATCCTCTTTTTCATGGTTTATAGAACTCTGAAACCAAGAGAAAAACAGGTGATATTTTTCTTTTTGTTAAGACTACATTCTTCCATCATATGAAAAGACAGGTCAGATAATACTATGGAAAAATGCTCTTCTCTAAATAGCATGAAGTATTCTAAGTTACAGCCATCAGCCACCTAATTCCAAGCAATGTTCAATGCAACAAAATGTTTGCCTAATCAAAACTTATGTACAGCTCCTTGGACTTCACTGTAATGGAATTTGCTCTGGATGGTAAAACAGCCTCAGAACTAGTTACCTGTGTTGGTTGTGACCTCCAGGGGCTCGCTGAAGTCTCCATAGCCAGCTGCTGTCCTCGCTCGAACGTGGAAAACATAGGAGGTCAGAGGGTTCAGACCTTTGATATCCGTGTTCCTGGCAGCGGTCCGGACAATCCGATAGCTTCGCTCATTCTGATCCTATGTTATAGAAAGATAAAATGAAGGAAGATGGCAAAAGAAACCCTGCACTTATCTTATGCACAATAGGAAAGGCGCCAAGCCAGTCTACTCAGAGGTTGAAAAGAAAATGGAGATTGGTAAATTCTCTAAACCCTATACCCTCTTCCATGTTAGAAGTACTACTGTTACTTCTTAGATGTTGAAAGAAATGCAGAGTCATGTGTGATTATTGTTGACACTGAGTGTCTCCAGATCTTGACTCATAATCTTTTTAAAAAAGAACATTAGATTATGGTTGGTGGCTTTTCTCACTCCACAGCCAGCAATTTAACTGAAATAACTATAAGAAAGTCCCTTGCCTTTTTCAACTTTCTGTCTAGAAAATGTCAAAAATGTTGTAATCTGGTTTCAATGAAAAAAAAAAATCCTGTTCCTTTTCTGCTTTTAATGAGGAA